TGAGCATAAACTACAGGGGTGAAAATGGACTATACGTTTTTGATATTGAAATTCGAGGTTAATTTATCTAAATGGAAAAAAACTATTTTTTCTATGCTTAACATCTAGTAGAGTGTAGGCGATCTACATTTTTGAAATTTGTTTAGCTTCTCTACGCAATACACAGACAATTTAAAAGGACTGCGGTTTGCGAAAGCTTTATAATCTTATGAAATATGAGAGAGAGAGAATTGCCATTCGAAGTGGGAAATACACTTCCTTAACAGAATGAATGGCGGTAAATATCCGTTTTCAAGTTCGTCCCTTCCTTCCTTACTATTTATTTCAAAATCTGTCTTTCTCGTTCAGCAGTTTATTGTTGTCAATACAATTGGTGCTCTGCCTCTTTTTTCTTTTCTACCGTTTTTGTTTTTTTTTGTGCATTGACTGTAGTACGGCGCATTGTAGCTGCTGCTGGTTTATCGCAAAAATATAAAATCTAATCAAATTCGCTTTATTCTGCGTTTGAAATTGCTCGCAGCTATTGCTCTTTGCCCGCGTCCTTTCATTTTCTCGGTTGCTTGTTGGCTTGTTGCTCTTGTTAGATAGAGCCTTGGTTGGCTGGCTGGTTGGTTGGTTGTCTACCGCCCGTTTATTACTACCATTGCCAACTGCTTTCAATTGCGACAAACGACAAGCAATTCAAAGATTTCAATTTTGATAATTGCTGTCGATTGTTGGCGAGCACAAACACACACACACACGCAGGCAGGCACGCACATTTGTTGCTACACAATCATAGATTCGAACAGCGATTGTGCGCTCTAAAGTTAGCAACGCCGCAAGCCATATTCTGCCAACAAGCAAGATAGCAACAATCGGTAAGTATTCGCTGCTGTTGTTGTTATGACAGTTGCTGCCATTGTGAGTACACTGCGTCGACGTTGTCTTATCGCGTTGCAGCAATCCCAAGAGGAAAGTAACGAACGAGTGAGTGCAGCGAATGCGAAGCAGTTAATTCAATTGAATTTTAATTCAGCTGAATGCTTGCCATACGCCGCCGGTGCTCCTTTGGACACTTGGTTAGTGGTTGGCGCAACTGTTCCTCCTCCTTCCCAACAAAAGTCACACTTTCTTGATTCCTCGTTGTTATGAAACTCTTTTCTATTTTTTTGTTTTTTTTTTTTTTGCTTGCCATGCAATCACTATCTCGGCTGCGGCTTTTACTAATTGCCGTTATGCTGCACCCTCGCTCGTTTATTTTTTACTTTATTTTTTACTACTTAAATATATCTACTTACGAACGCTTCTGCGTTCATAATCACTTGCCACCTTTGGATTGCCTCTCCTTGCTTCCGTTTTGACGCCTGTCAACATTCCTGCAGAGTGCTTGCATTTTATGCGGTACGCGTTTTTGTGCCACTGGGGAGGCGGCCGGGATACTTTCGCTTGTTGTAGTGCCACTCCTGCCGCCGCTCCTCTTAACTCTGATGACTGGCCGACTGAGTGACTGACAGCCTCTCGTAGTTAATCCAAGAGGAGTTACCCGCTTATCAACCATTCATTGCATTGCTTCCATTTCTCACGTTGACTTGTTTCCTTGCTTTTTTTCAACTCCCCATCTTCTTTTTATTTGCCTCTGTCGCAATTTATGATATTTTACTGCTGCGCCGCCGTTTTTAATCCGCACGACAACCGACATGACACCAGCGGCGACAACAACTCCCAACCAACATTGCCGGAGTCGTAAAGCATTTTTTTTTTATTTTTATTTTTTTTACGCACTCAGCCAAGAGTCGAGTTTTTACGACATTCATTTTTGGCTGTCGTATTCGTTTTATGCTTTTGATAATTCTGCTGCAAAAGGAGAAAAAAAAAATGGCAACTAAATGTACGAAATTTCAGAGTCAAATTATATTTTTGTGTATTTTGCATTGTTCTCATTTATGGTTGGGCCCTCGCCTTGAACCGTGGAAGTTAATTCAAAACAATTTGTGTTTGTTTGTGTAGCCTTGCGTGTGCTGCTCATTTAGAGATGCATGAAATTTCGTAGAAATATTCATTGTGCGTGGAATATTATAATGAAATTTTTTTCAAGAATTTGGGTAGAGTTCAGCGAGTTGTTGAAACAAAATACCACATCATCAATCCAATAAACGAAACACGAAAGCATCTACGTACAACAATATCCATAGTCTGTCTCAAATATGTAATAGGCTCCAATATATTAGAAGGTGGTGATAAACATACTAGTAATCTGCGAGCAACTTCATGTTAGTACTTTTGTATGGTGAAGTCAGTTGTTCGCCAAAGCTCTCATCGTTGGTAATTTCAACTATAAAACCCTGGAGATGTTGCACCGCTTAATCTCTGAATATGGAGTTGTCTGCGTAGAGAAAAGTACCCCTTCGTCGTTTAAGTTCCAGCAGTTGAAATATGCGACAAATTAGATTTGGAAATCCAGGCTTTTGTAAAGCTTTCTGAGCTTTACATAGAAATTATTTTTTAGTCTCCAATTTTCAGCGATTTGGAAACTGATCGTTTGCGACATTTGTGCTCGCTGGCAGTAAACTTTTTTTCAGTTCAGTACAGTGAAGAAAAATAACATATTTAAGTTATCTCTAAAACGGGAGTATTCAGGGCTTTTAGTACATGTATTAGGAGTCCTAGGGAAAGGAGTATTGCTATAAAGAAAACCAAACTCTAGAACACTAAAGTTGTCTAGGAACACGGTCTGAGACAATTTAAGGCGATCGGTTTGGGCTTCAATGATTGTCTATCAACCTGGTAACACTATGGATGCCTTCGTTCCGGGTAAGACCCTCAGGTCCCCAACATTACGTATGTACACATATACATACATAAATAAACGAATGTGATTGCATTTGAAATTTAGTGCAAAAAAGCGATAAGAGCCAACCACAAAATGTGTAAAGCAATGCGACTCAACGCAGTTGTGAGTCGTGACCATCAAAACCGCCCATCAATTAGCGAAACGAGCGTTTGTATGCGCAGCGCCATCGCCAGTAGCCACAATAGTGGAGAGTATCATTGGCTGTTTGACTGTTGGAATTTCGAGTAATTGATAGTGTGCGGGAATAACTATTGGGGGTTTTTTTTTAATTTTTTTTTTTATATTTTCCTAAGAAAACTGCGCTATTTTGGTATACATATGTATATGTATATGGCCAATACAATAGCCCCCCATTTAAAAGTGATCTTTTTTGCCACTTGTATTTATTAAAATATTTTTAGGAATTTTCAATTAAACTAAAATTCATTTTCTAACAAAACACATATAAAGCCAAGTTTAAAATTTTGTAGAAAACTACAAAAAAAAAATCCAACAAATTTTAAACTTTTTTCTCAGCAGTGTTAGAATTTTTTTGAGTACACAGTATTATTTATAGCCTATCCAATTTTAGTCGGAAAATGGGCAAGTTTCGAACGGGTAAAACTTACCGTTTTAGAATATTATTCACCAAAGTTGTTTCGGGTTTCTTCCATATAAAAAAGGGGTTTATTCGTTATTTGGAAGCAAATGCGGCAAAAAAAAATCGAAAAAATCAACGGCCATTTTTCATGTCTTCCTTGATTAAAAATTAAAAATTTTAATTTTTGCCTTTTTTGACCATATTGCCGTTTTCTGCCTTTCAGCATGTTTCGCCTTTTTAAATTTATATCTTCATAGAAGTTCACTATATTGTACAAACCGTGTGACTACAAACAAATTTTCGTGCCATTTTTATTTTTAATTTTTTATTTTTTACCAACAGCCCGCATGTACAAATCTGTACAAAAGTACCAACCGTGTGACGCTGAATTCAATTGTGCAATATTTGAAAAAAAGTCAACAAAATTTTGTAAAAATTTTGATGGATTTTTTAATCAGATTTCCTAGAAACATTCTGAGTATGTAGTTTTGAAGCCCATTAAATTCTAGTTTCAAATGGCAAAAATGTATGGTTGATTTTTTAGACTTAAAGAAAGCTCGAAATTTCTACGAAAATTTTTGAATATTGCAAAAAGTTGGAAACATCGATTTACACGGGTTTTGTTAAAGAGTGGGCTATATTTTTATAAAAAAAAATAACCAAAATTAAATAACAAAAATAATGATGTTAAAACTTGGCAAAAAGTGGTGCGGATATAATTTTTTGACCGCTATATGTATTTTTTTTATATATTTAATTGGACATACATATACACATTTACGTTGTACTAAAGGTATGTGCATAACAAAATTTAAAAAAAAATGCCTTTTTTCCTTTTTTAAAGCTCATTTTGCACTTTTCAAGTTTTTAGGGCCTTCAAATCCGAACCCTGGTCATAGTATTATCAATATTAAAAAAACGCTTATTAAAAAAAAATAAAATAAAAAAAAAAAATCATAAAATAACGGTTAAATTTGATCGACAAAAATGTTTGATTGATTTTTCTTATAAAGACCATAACCGTTATTCCGTAATTGATACATGCTAGACAGCAGTTTGGAAATCAAAATGGCATAACTACATATTTCAGTTTGTTTTTACAACTTTCATTTATTGCCTCTCATGGAAAGCAAATTATAGATTAATCATTAACGAACAAATAATTTAATGAAGGTTCCCGAAAAGTTTTCCAATTCTGAGAATGCTGTTTCCTTTACACACTGCCTAATACATAAGTCGATGTTACATCCTCGCTAACGAATAATCCTTTACGCATAATTATCTAAATTGTATGTACGGCGCGAGTCATGCACCAAGTAAGAAGCAATCATTGAAAAAAACGGGCCACCCACGCAACAGAGCATCACGGCGTCATGTTGCTTGAATAGTGGTGCTCTGCTGGCATTCCTTAGCAACACTCGCTATCCTATCTATGTATCACTACCACCACCGCCAGCAGTGCCACCATCATCGCGCCACACTTCAACGAAGCAACTCACAAATCAATGAGAACAGCGCCAAGTAAATTCCAGCTGAATACTCAAACAAGCATTTCAAGTGTTTTTGCTTTTTTTATTTTTATGTTTTTTTTTTTTCGTTCGTTCGTTTTATGTTGTGTGGTTGTTGACGCAGCTGCTGATGCTTTTGTTATGCATATAGTCGTCGTCGTCGTCGTCGTCGTCGCATGCACTTAAAAACTATTCGATATACTCGTCAGATGGCTTTGAAAATTCAGATGACAGCGCGCGCGAATAACTTTTGCTTTTTATGTTGCTAGTTTTTCGTCGTAGTTTGTTGTTCATTGCTGGTTGCTTGCTTGCTTGTTTTTTTTATGTTGCTTTCACAGAGGCAACATTGTTACACGAGCTGCTTTGTTGTTGGGGAGTTGCTTGGCTGGCGGTTTAGCGTTTTGGCTCGGCAGCATATGTTGTTTACATGCGAATGGATTTGTGTGTGTGTGTGCGTGTGTGTGTTTGTGCTTGATGTCTGTTCCATAGAGTATCAGCATCGCCATCATAGCCATCGTCGTCGTCATCATCAACTCCAGCAAGAGCGCGACAGTAGCTCAGTACTACTTAGTAATGGCACAGCAGTAACACAACATAACTGCGATGTGTTACTTAGTTCGCATTGCTGGCAGTTGCAGTTGCAACAGTGTTACAAACGATTTTTCATTAATTGGTTGTTGTTGTTGGTCGCACTATCGTGCCGGCATGCCATTGAGCTATCAAAAGTTGCTGCTGCTCATTTTTCTTTCCTTCCTGCCTGTAATGCTTTGTTAGTCTCATTTGAGTCGTTAGAAATTTGTACTTTTTTCGCAGTGCATCTTTTTCGATATTGTATGCGACCATGTTGTTTCAATGCTAAGTCTTGAGGTTGTTTGATTAGTCGCGTTTGATGTTTGAGATGTTTATATACTTACATGTCGACGGCTGAGTTGTAGATCGATTTATCTTGACAACCGATTCAAAAGCGCCCTTTCTCAACTGAAAATGTACTGAAATAGGGCGTTTTCGAATCCGCAGCTGAGATAGGGCATTCTTCAATCTAATTGCGTTCTTGATAAGTTTTCCGAGTTAGGGCGTTTTCGAACTGGCTACCTACCGAGATAGGTCGATCTTCCACTCAGCGGTCGATATATTTTGTAGCTGTTGTTGAAGCGGCAATGCTAAACACTTCCAAGTTCGAGTAGAGAGTAGTACATATGTACGTATGTATATCAATCGCACTTGTCAAGCACAACTAACTATAGGTCCAGGAAACTTACAGTTTAAGTTTCGAAAGTGTGGAATCAAAGGTAAGGAAGGAGTGTTAGATGAGTGGATGCTTGGGTGTCATCTTGGATAGGAAACTGATCTGGCAACGCAACGTAGAGGAGCGAGCCAAAAACGCCATTACCGCCATCTTTGCCTGCAAAACGTTTATAGGCAAGAAATGGGGTCTCAAACCCCACATATTTCACTGGATTTACACAGCAGTGGTCCGTCCTATATTACTTTACGGCGCCAAGGTCTGGTGGACATAACTAGATAAATCGCTAACAAATTCTAAGCTTACAAGGTTCAAAGGGATTACTGCTAAACTATGGGCAGCTAAAGGCGAGCTGCAATGCAGTAAGAATAAATGCTCGCTTCGTATCCCTTCGAGGAAGGACTGGGAGGACGACTCGGTCTGAGGACTCCACAGTCATCTACACGGATGGCGCCATACTAAATCTAAGAGTAGGGAGTGGGATACACTCGAAGGACCTCTCACTAGATCTCTCCTTTAGGCTACCAGACCACTGCTGTGTCTTCCATGCAGAACTCGCGGCTATAAAAGAGGCTGCACTCTGCGTTATCGAATCTTCTCTTAACCTGCCTTCAGTAACTATATACACCGATAGCCAAGCAACTATCAAGTCACTGGATTTTTGCAAGTTCTCGTTTATATGTAACTGCAATAGAATGTAGGAAAGTCCTGAAAAGGTGTTTGCACGAGGCGATTTTGCGTTCAACTCACGCAGGGTTGCACTAAAAAAAAGTTGAATGGCTAAATGTTGGCTGGCGACCAACTTTGTTGAAAGCGATTAGTTGAAAGGCCGCTCAACCAAAAGTAGAATGCAAAGTAGAACAATGCAAACGCCTTTTTGTGGCGAATATTTTTATATTTTTTTATATTTTGATAGTTTCAGCCATTAATTTTTTTTTCGTGCAACCCTGCGTGAGTTGAACGCAGTTGTCTACCTTCAAAACCAACTGCGAGGAAGGGAACAACCCTGCCTGACATCAACTCCTCTCATGCAGCGGGCATACCCCGTATCTACCTGTAAGACATGGCTGAGGACATACTTCGTTGAGAAGGCAAATAAAAGATAGTCGGAAGAACCCTCGACAAGAAAAGATCCAACACCAACTCATTCGGTTAGGGCACCCTCTACTAAGACTGGTCACCAGCCATCATTACGTCTGTCTCGCCGATCTAAGTGAAGCTCTCGCGCTTTCTGAACCTAACGAAGTGCTTTCACTTTTAAGTGAACGGACGGTTTCGAATTCGAGCTCGCAATTGGTATCACAACGGAGTCACCGCTGCGTGCGTCTAAGTGCGCCTCTCTGCTACGTGGTGCACATTTCGCATTAATAGCTTTTACTTGCATGGGTCATCCAAGTCATTTCCTTCATATGTATTCCTAAAGTTGCCATTGCACCCACGGTAATTGATAGAGCGCTGATATACCATTGCAAAACCAAACTTCAGTCTTGCCGATTGACAAATGTGAATAGTGAAATTATTGAAGTGTCATTTGCTGCTTTTACTGGAGGCATAGTCTACTCCCCACAGCAACTTTGAATGCTAATGCATACATTCAACTACCTACCTACATAGCGACAATGTTTTCAGGCAATCAGCTCGTTAGCTAGCATACTTGCTTTTGGATCCAGATTTTTCGCGCGCATTTTTTCTTACATTGCAAGCGCCGCGTGTAACTTGAGAGCATGAGCTACATTTGTGCGCACGTCTGCCAATGTTGGAGGCTTACATACATACATATTTAGTCACAGACACGTTGTTTGTTGCCGGTTTTTCTACAAGTAAACATGGCGTAGCATAAGTTTTGCACTGCACTTTGTTTTTTTTTTGTTTTTCTATTTTAATCCCAATTCACTTTGCTAAGTAACTATTCAACAAACTCACGTTTGTCCTCTTCACAATTTCTCGCTGTTTCAAAGTTACTCGTTGTGCGTTTTTCAACTTAAACGCCACATTGTAGCAATTCAGCTCCACTTTGTTCCGCCACCCCACTTTGTCATCGAACCCAGCTGCTGTATTTTATTTGTTCGCTGTTGTAACTGACATTTTTTTCTCTGGTTGTATTAATTTTATCGTTTTTTCCTTTAATTTATGTTGTTTTATTGTTGTTTTTGGCTTGCCTTGTTCAACTTGAGGTCGGTTCATTTCATTTTACTTTAACGTTCAGCTCAGTTCAGTGCAGTCGAGTGCGAATGCGAAATGTGCGCGCCACCACCGCCACTCACGTATTACGTGGTCCACCCCACTCGCCTCGCCTCAGTCCATTGCCGGCCAACATGCCGCCCACCGCACCGCACCGCTTGCCTGCCACCTCCAGTCGTCGATGCATGTTTGCCAAGTGTGCCAACGATGCTGTCGTTTTTCATTTGCCGCCACAACTGTTTGCGCCGCTGCCTCTCTATGCCCTTGTACGCCAACACTTTGATCATCAACACGACGACGACGACTACGGCAACGGCGACAAGAATTCATTTGGATTGTATGTATGTATATCGCCTGGTATGTAGATACGTACGTGTGCTTATGCCTATGCGCGTGTGTGTGCTTTTTGTTGGTGTTTTCGCTTCGACTCATTTAATGCGACTCGTTCGTTCACTGCGCTGTGTGCTGTGTGCTGTGTGCACGTCGTAAAGTCGCTCCACGAATCCCCAATACTGCTGATTCGATGCCATCTCCTCGCCACTTGTCCCCCGCATCCATGTATGCTACGGCAGCATGTAGTCATCATCATCAGGCGCAGCAAGCACACCATCGGCTGCTAAGTCAGTATACGTTCGCGTCAGTTTCAGTGCCGTTGCGATTATTGCCGCCTTGCCTGTTATTTAGTTGTTGTAGTCGTTGTTGTTGTGGCCGCCGTTGATTGCTGCTGCTGACTGTGCTAGTGCTCGTGCTCTGACACAACGGAGTGCTTTGTCTATCTACCTACCGACCGAGCGACGTGCACGACCGTTGTATTCAGTGAGCTAAGCTAGTCAGCCAGAGCCAACGAACGCTCCATCCATCCAACCAGCTCTTACGTTTTGCTGGCGTGCCAATTCGCATTCACATTCCGAGTTTCGGTCGCAAAAATCGCTTGCCTCCCGTACACCAGCTGCAACAACAGCAACAGCAACAGCCACTGGCGGCGGCGGTAGTAGCTGCGTCAATGGCAGCCCCACCAGTCAGCAGTCATTGTAGTCATCGTCAGCAATAAGCAGCAGCGAGCGGCCCCAACAGCAGCAGTTAGTCAGAGCCGCCAGCCAGTGAGCCAACTCTCAGCCCGTCAGGCAAACAACCAACAACTTTGTGTGCGCACCAGCAAACGAATGACGAGCAAAAAGCAAGCACACCAACAACACAATTGAGGGGGAAAATAAACGAACCGACTGAAATGTCCCAGCAAAATGTGTGAATGAGCACAACACAACGACGACGACGGCACAGTGTTGGGGGAAATAAAGGTTTTCAGGTTCAGTACGGAATCCTTACAAAAATTGTACTTTTCTATTTGTAAATTGTATTGACTGTTTAACATATATGTATATATGTACATACATATGTATTTCTCCTTCAAGACCAATGATTTGATGGAATTTACTCTCTCGGACAGATGTTGCCTATACACAAATCGAAATTTTGGTTCATAAATCTCATTGGGCCCTGTCAATATTTATATTGATGGATTGAAAATAGAATTATTTTGAAAATTACCTTAAAAATTTTTACAAGCAATTTGTTTTTTTTTTTTTTTTAGAAATACCCCAAATACCTACTTCCATTGAAATCTGTCAAATACATATGGAGTAAATATCTTTGTTGTCCTATATTCTCGATTTGTCCCTATGTGCGCCTCTCAGCAGCCAATGGTAAACCTCCGAGTGTTATTCAGATATGAAAAATAGCTTCTCATAAAAATACAATCGCCGTTCGGAGTCGTAGTAAAACTGTAGGTCGCTCCATCAAGGCGTACGCCACCAGTCGGAGGAGAAGCTCGACCAAACACTAACTCATGTGTAAGCGCCAATCTTTTAAAGCTGATGAATTTGTTATTTTCCGACTCAATTTTCTTAGAAAAATAATTTTTCTCATATAGGTTTATTTTGTTAATTGCAACTTTAAAAGCACCATAACAATTACTTTGTTAATGTGAATTGCATTAAGCATCATGCCATCAGCTGTTTTTCTTACTGGCAAATAGTTACTAGCAAAAATTTATCCAGTAAAACTTGCAAGCTCAGCTGTCATTTTTGCTCTCTCAATATCCCTTCTTTTGCTAGTTTCTTGCAAATTTTTGCGTTGGAAAACGCCATCCAGTAAAATTATTGATGGATGTTACTGGATAGTGCGTACGAAAACTGGCCTTTTGTGACAAAAAGAGTCAGTCACTAATCTAGTCTCAAATTTAGCGACTTGAGATGAGAATGACTTATTGAACAGCAGCATAATGCATTAAGGTCATCACGAAATTGTACTTAAAAGTATTGCGTTGTATGAAATGAAATGAAATGAAATGAAATGAAATGAAATGAAATTGTATCAAAAACGTACAATTGTACCAAAAATGCCAACACTGCAACGGCACCGAATGGTTAGTTGGTTGGTCGGACAGGCGGTTGTTTAGTGGGTCGCTTGGTGTGCTCGTAAACCGGCGAGTCGGAGAGTCAAGCCAGCCAGGCAATAAGCTCGTAGTTCGTTGTGAGTTGGCGCTGGCTGGCTGATAATTTAAGTTGAGTGCCGAGCATCTAGTATATATAGTATATATATATATATATATATATATATATATATATATATATATATA